TTCAAAAATTTCTTAACAACAAAAATTTTTCATTTCATATAAATAAACAAAATCCATATATTTGTTTATATATATATATTTTATGATTTAATTTAGTTTGTTTGTGTTTTAATTTGATGTGTTTATATTTCTGTCATTTGAATTTAATCCCTTTTGCATAACAAAAATGTTTCAAAATGTCATTTGTAATTTACTTTTTTTGTTACATTTACATAAACCATTCGTTTTCCTTTTTTTTTGTCTTGATTTTTTCATTTTTTTTTTAAATATTTTTATCAAACAATTAAAAAAATAAAAAGTAAATGTAGTGTTAAAATTTAATTAATGATAATTGATTGAAAATTGGCAAATGTATTGTTTAAATTTAATTAGCTATCGAATCAAATATGTAACATTTTTTTTTCTTCTTTTCTCTCTTTCTTTCTCAACTAGGAGAGAGAGAGAGATCAAATTCAAATTTAGAAAGAGAAAAAGAAAGAGACAGAAAGAGAAATATAACTTTTCCATTTTTAATTCAAACTTTGCCATTTGATCGTTTTTCAAAATGGTAGCTGTTATTTCAACTTCATTTATTAGTGCTATTAGACAGATAAATTAAGAAAATTTTAATAGTAGTTTTTTTTTTGATAATATTTGATAAACTTATCTAAGACTTATCAGCCTTATCAATAACAATCACTATTATATTAAAAGTTTGCAAAGTTAAAATTAAAATTTGCAATTAAAATTAAGTAAATTTTGATGAAATCATTAAAATGTAAATTTTTGTTGTTTATTTATATTTAGTAATTGATTTAAGCTATGCAAGAAATAATTTTTTGCTATTATTTTCAAAAATGATAATAAAAATTTTATTTTATTATTTCATTTTTTAAGTAAATTATTGAATTTCAACAAAATGACTGCAATTTATTGAAGTGCTTAAAATTATGACTGTAAATCATTAGATTAGTATGAAATTTTCTGAAACAATATTTCAGTAAAGATCTTTTCCTTTTCATTTTAAAACAATAGAAAAACTTTTTCCATTAATTTTTTATCCAAATTTGTGATCAATTAATTTAAATTGATCATTGGTCAATCAATAAAAATTTTATTGATTAGCATCTGATAAGATTTGGAATGCTAATATTAAATTTCAAATGTAATAATTTTCTTATGCAAAAGTTGAAAGTATAAAATTTTGTAATAAAATTTTGAACGAATAAAATGCATTTATTTTGTTTAACCGTTCTAATTTGCATCAAATTTCTTATTTTTTGTTATTATCAAACAAATTTTTGCAATCAAATATTTAACCCTTACCTAACCAAAAATTAATTTCTTTCAATAATTTGATATCAATTTAACTTTATCTTTGCATCTGTTTCTTTTGACAACAAATTGTAATTATTACTAAAATTAATTGGCTAATTATACTTTTACTTCTAAAATTTATCAAATCATTTAACAGTGTTTTATTATCATTTCAATCGTTTTTTTTATTCTAATCACTTCAAAAATGCCAATAATTCTAACTCTTAATTATTGCTTATTTATTAAAATATTTGTACTATTAAATATGGCACACTCACATAATTTTTTTTTCTGTTTGTTGCTTACTTAGGAAGCTAAAATTACTCTGAATTTTCATAAATTACGCTGAAAATAAGCCAAAATTTTATAATTTTCAACATTTTTCAATAATAAACAAAAAATTGGTTAAAAAAAAAAATTTTGTTTTTTTAGTAATAAAAACTTTTAGTCATAAAAATTTTTAGTAATAAAAATTTCACCATGCACTCATTCTAGTTCATAAGTGCCAATATTTTAATGCTTTATTAAATGGATTTAAAAAAACAACAAAAAAAAAACAAACAAATAAATAAATAAGTAAATAAAATCGTTTAAAAATTTATGGACAGAAAGGAAAAGGAAAAAATAAGGAAAGAAAAAAAATCGATTAAATGTCAATTTTGCTTTCTTTTTATTGCTAAAATTTAAGAAAAAAATAATAATAAATTGTTGAAATAAAATAAAATTAATTATTGCTTAGTTAATTTGTCGAAGCTATTCAAATGTCACACAATTTTAAAAGTATATTTGATAAATTAATAAACTAATTAGCAACTTAAGTTGCATTAATTTTATTTATAAAAATTTTATTTATGCATTTTACAGATAAATAATAGATATGCAAATCTGTTTGATTCATCATTTTGTATTAAAAAATATTAAATTATCAGTTTTATTTTGTTTTTTTTTTTTTTTTTTGGCTTATTTTGGGTTTTTTTTCAAATTTGATTTTTTTCAAAAATCTAGCATTTGTTATTGATTTAAGCTTATTTAATCAAATATAACTGCATGCATCAATCGGTATTATATGTAATCATTTGCTTAGGTATGCTAAGCTTATTAGCCTAGTAATGATGACGTCTAATAAGCCTAGTTATTTGATTAAATAAGCTTAAATCACTTTAAATGATACGATTATGATGACATCATTGCATTTCATTTGTCACCAAATATATTTGATATCACTTTCAAACATCAGTGACTATTTTTATTAAAGAAACGAAAGAAAAATTTAAAAGAAATCATTAAGAAATTTCTATTTCAATTTAATAAATGATAAACGCACGAACTTATTGCAAATGAAAACTATTTAATTAATCAAAATTACAATTTTTTATAAAATATAATTATACATTATAATGCTATCATTGTTGTCATTTGAAGATAGAATAAGAATATTTGAATGAAATATCAATTATTAATTGTAAAAAAGAAAATAAATAAATAAGTTTTAAAGTCTTTTTTTTGCGTTTCCTTTTTTGTTTTTTGTTTTTTTTTTTTTTTTATATTTAAGTTTTTGTAAACTATTTTTGATAAGAAATCCAATTTCTATTTTTTTCTTCTTTCTTTGACAACGAGTAAAAGCGTTTGTTGTTAATTTATTGGTTAGTGATAATAAATAATTATTAAAATTAAATCAAATGTTTTCAATAAAAAACATTTTGATAAAATGTGTTTTTTTTTTTTTGTTCTTTAAAATATTAAAATATTTCGTGTTTTTTTCTTTTTTTTTTTTTAAATTTCTATAAGATATAAATTATTGAATATTTGTTAAAATTTGTAAAAAAAAAAAGAGAACTTTTGCAAATAAAACCAAACGATGGGTACTATGAATTTTTATGGATTAAAAAATAATGCTAATAATGCTAACAACTAAGCTTAATGTCATAAATTCACTATTATCAACATGATACTTTATGCTGGGCGCTATCTGTATTTCCTGTTCAATGCACATTTATGTTATTTGCGCCATGAATACAAATACATTGATTTTATTAAATTTCATAGTAAAAAAAAAATAAAATCTTTTGCATGACTGAGCAAATTTTAAGCAATAAGCTTCAAAAAAAAAAAAAATCTTATGGTAAACATTAGCAATTGATAGATATTTTACTAACTGACATTTACTTTCATTTTAGAATCATTTTATAATCATAAAATCGTAACAATCAAATCATAATCGCAATATCATAGACTACTCTTACAATCATAATATCATAGAATCTTCTCGTAATTGTGATATCATCGAATCATTCTATAATTATAATGGAGTCTTCTCATAATCGCAGTACCATGGAATTTTTTCATAATCATAGTATCATGTATTATTCTTATAATCGTAGTATTATATAATCGTAGTTTTCCATTCTGGTAAAATCTTATCATCAACCATAATCCTAGAATCATGGAATTGTAGAATCTTCTCACAATTGTAATACCATAAACTCTATCCATAATCATAAGCTAGTAGTATCTTCTCATAATCATAATATTATCCATAATTGCAAAGCTGTAGAATCATGGAATCTTATCATAATCGTGATATCATGAAAGTTTTCCATAATCGTATAATCATAGAATTTTTCTGTAAATTTAGAGTGATGGAATCATAAAATATCTCAGTATTATTTTAAGAAAACTATTAAACTGTGAATAGTTATTATATTAAGATATTATTGAATTTTTCTGATTAATCAATCAATCAATCAATCAGTGCTTATCATTCCATTCTTCAAGTATACAACTATTTCATTTTTTCATTATAAAATTTTGTAAAATTAATTACTCTAATTGGGTAATTATACAATGGCAGGAAGAGTAATTATACGATAATTCAATAATATTAATTGCTAATTGATTGCTATTGTTATCAGTCCATTTAAATATGACATTGTTTATATGAATTATAGCTATTTGTTAAAGCTCAGAGCTATGAATTATGAACATAAATAATTAATTAGAAACAGATAATTAGTGATAAATTATGGTAGAATTTATCATTCTAAATTTATCACAAAATAAAAAACTTGCATATATCTATAAAAAAATATTGTCAAGTAAAGATTTATCATTTAAGCAATAAGAACATAGTGAAATAAAAACTATAATTTTAAGTAATTTTATAAATTATTTGAAAATTCTCGAATAATAATTTTGCTATATTTTAATTAACTGATTAAGAAAGTAATTTAAGCATAAGTATTAAGCATAATAATAATTAAATTATTGTGACAATTAGCATTTAAGAAAAACATTCTCCTTTCATACAAATCTTTGAATTTTTTATTTGTTAATTCATTCATTATATTTTGTTACTTTAATAGTTATAATCATAAATTGAATCTTTAATTAATTCACTAATTTGCTTAATCCTTTTTGCATTGCATGAAGAATTGAAACGTAGTATAATATACTTAACTTAAATTCAATTATATTAAATTAGTAATATTAATTATTTCTTTTTCTATTTTGTTATCATTTTCTTTGCTATTCGCTGAAACAATTTAATTAAGCTTATTGCAAATGAATAAAAGTAAAAGTAATCATTTTTTTTTTCTTTTTTTTTTGCATATTTCATTAGCATTAAATTTTTGTAAATATGTTTAATCTATTGTATAATTCATAAATGATTCATTTATTTGATAAAAATTCTCAAAATTTTCAGAATGTCATTTTACAAAAAAGTTGAGAATACATCAGATCTAAATGATCAAGTGCCTGTATTGGAATCGTATCTGCCTAATTCAATTATTTATATTACACTGTATTGCTTAGCTGTACCACCAAATATTCTACTAGCTTATATGGGCCTTAAAAAAGGTTTAATCTCGGCACGTGTCAAATATCCAACATTAGGCATGACAATTGCCAATTTGTATGGTCTTTTTGGATTTTTGATGCTTAATTCAGTCTATTTAATTATGCTCTTTGGTAATATTAAACTCAGTCTATTCCTCTGTAGCTTTTTACGTACGGTTATTTACAATACCACGTACGTCATCTATTTCCTCTTTCCTGTATTAGCCATCGATCAATGGCTACTAGTATGTCATAACTGTGATTTAAGTATTAAAACATTAACAGTAATCATTCTCACTTGTTTTATAATTCCAATGTTAATTGCAATCTACGATCTTTGCCTTCAGGATGTGCTCCTCTATGATTACATATTTGCATACATACGAATGTCACCCTATACAAATGTTGTAAGTTTTTCTTTTTTTTTTTTTATTTTTAAAATAATTAAAATTTAAATTTTTGAAAATGTTCCAAGAAAATGGATAAAAAGTGGAAAAGAATTAATTAATTATATTAATTGCTGAACATTGCAAAATTACATTTATACACTTGAAATTATTGTAAGAGAAGAAAGGAATGAATGAATGAGATAAAATGAATTAATTGTGAATTATTGATAAGAGGAAAAGAAATTTTACATTCCAGAAAGGAATAAAATATATTTCATTTTATATAATTGAATTATTTTTTAAATATTAACAATAATATGAGCGCTAAAAAAATGTTAGTAAAGTTAAAAAAAAAAAAGAGAAAATGTAGAAAATAAAAAAGTAAAATTTTACTAATTTATTTGCAAAATAAATAATGAAATTTTATAACGAATTTTATAAATAAAACTGCTACGAATTAATAAATTCTAAATAATTAAATGTGAAATATTTAAATAACTCATTTGTGATTTTCAATAGATTAGTTGAAATTAGTGTAATTTTATAAAATTAACAAATGCAAATAAAAATAAAAACTAAAAAATAAGACAATAATAATAATAATAATAATAATAATTATTATTATTATTATTATTATCACTTATCTAATAATCGATCAATTTTTTCATCATTTTAATAGATCCATTAAGGTAGAATAAAATTTCTGCAAATATTTCATCTTATTTCACTTTTTAATTTTTTCTTTTTTTTTTTGTCTTCATAAAAAAAAATAATTTAGTGAAAGCAGCCTAATAATGATTTGCAAGATAATTTTGCAATTAAAAAATAGCTATAAATTTTTAGCGTTGTTTTTTTTAAATACTTTATTTTAAATTAATTTGTAGTAGAAAAATTTTTATAAAATGTTCATTTAACAAAATTTCATAAAAGATTTAAGATTTAAATTGAAGAAAAATTTATTCTACATTCATAAGAGAAGCATTAAAATGCAAATATCATAACTAATTTAATTTTTTTCTAAAATTTTTAATAAACAGTAATTAACGATAAAGTTAACTCTTTGAAAACAAAAAATCTTTTTTTTTTTCTTTTATCGTTCGAATGTTGTCGAATTGAAAATTAAAATTATGCTTAGAATTAAAATCATAAAGTTATAATATTAGCATTTCATTTCTAAAATTTTTCCTATTTTAACTGATTTTTAACGAATAATATTACATTTAATCCATTAAAATTTTTTTTTTAATATTAGCACAATTGAAAGACTGTGTCATTATGAATTATTTCCAGTAAACAGTAATTAGCTAATTGATAACTTATTAACAATACTTCATTAATTAACTAATTTCAACAAATGTTAATTAGTGCATTACCAATTAAATACTAACTAATGTTGATAAGTAATAAGCTAATTAGTGTTATTTACTATTATAAAATGCTAATTTATTTTTTTCATTTACTATTCTTATCAAAAATTCACACAGAAGCTTTAAATATACGCATTTGATAATAATAAATTTTCATTCCTAATATCTCAACACGTTTTTTTTTTTTTTTGTTCAAAATATATTAATTAACTAATTTGTAAGTTCAAAAAGTACATTAAATTATGACAAAATTAATATTTTATATCATTTATTTTCAAAATGTATTGCTAAATTAATTGCTTAATTAATAATTATAATATTTTTCAGTTTGTTTTCTTCGTCTTATCGCCATCATTTTTCATTTTCTCATTCATTTGCAATCTGTTAGTGCTTTCATCCATTGTTCGACGACAGTCCAAAGCAGCTAGGAAGCAAAGTGGACGAAGTTTAAATCCGAGACATTTGCAACAACAAAAAGCAATTGTTTACACATATATTTTACAAGCATTTATGCCACTTGTCTTAGCTACACCATATTATATTGCAAGTTTGTCCTTTGTTTTTTTTTTTTAATTTCTTAATGAGATTAAAAAAATTTTATCATTAAAATATTTTAAAATGATAAGAAAAAAAAGTTAATAAACTATAAGAAACAATTTTTAAGAATGCTATATAATATATATTATTAATTAATATTCATTTATTTAATGAATGATTGATTAGAAATAATATTTGATATTCACTAGAAAAAAAAAAATGAAGAAATTATCACATCTTAATGACTAAAATTATTCTGGAAATTTGAATTCATAATTGAGATTCATTAATTTATATAATACAGTTTTAATTAAATAATTAACATTTCAAATTAAATATTATTACATATTTGTGTCAAATATTTTTGCACATAACAATTTTGTTTTTATGTTGACACTAATTTGAATTAATGAAAGATTTGTTGTTTTTGTTAAATTATTATGAACTAATTGTGAATATTTGCGAATTGCCAAATTAATATAATTGATAATCAATTAGCAGAAATAATTATTTAACGAATAATATTATAACTTTGAAAATTTAAATAACATTTCAGATGTTTTTTTGATGTGTTCAGTTGATATTAATATGATATGGTTTACCGTTGGTGAAGCAATTATTGGTATTCATCCACTTTCAAATGCTTTAATTAATTTAATTTTACTGCGACCATATCGACGAGCATTGAGAAAAATGTGGATGAAAAATGAATCAAAAAATGTTCAGTACGATTCGATAACAATTGCTAATACACATTTTATGGATGGTGATTGTTTCTTGTAATTAAGAATAATATTATTACTATCACTATTATTATTATTATTATTATTATTGTTATTATTATTATTACTATTAGTCTTGAATAATACTTTTGATCTAATAAATAAATTAACGATAAAATAAGTGATAATTGTTTTTCTTCTTCTTTTTTTTTGGTTCATTGAAATTTATCTCATATTTCATTTATAAATCTTTCATTCATTAACTCCATTTTACATAATCAAATATTTATTTATTAACAAATTTAATAACGATTGAAAATTTTTAATGATTGAAATAAATTCGAAAATTAAGCAAAATTTTCCCTTTTTTTTATAAAAATCTAAACATAAATGCTAGGCTCTATTTCAATTGTTTTAGCCTTAAAACTTTATGAAATGATGTCATTGTGATGCTACAAGATTTTAGGAAATTATCGCATTAACTTAATGCAAATTCCATCATCAGCTAATGTTTATTCAATACTATTGTTTCATTAATTCGCTTACTCGTTCAATTCACTACATTAATTACGGGGATATGCTATTTTCTTTTTCCTTTTTTTTTTGTCATCTTTTTTTTTAATTGTATTTTATTTAATCATTCTTGTAATCTTATTTTAAAATATCCAATTACTTATTACATTTAGGAAAAGCCAAAAATTTTTAAATCAGGAATCATTTTAATAAATAAGCAAAGCTAAATCGAAACTTCTAAAAAAAATTTTCTCTCAATAAAAATTCCTCAGAAATTAAATTTAAATTGGAATTGTTTATTGAGATTCAACAATAGATTATAGCAAATATTTTTATATATAATAATAACAACTTATCCTATAATTACGAGATCAATTGAGACTGGCTTAAAATTCTTGTTACAGGTATGTGCATAAAACTAATGATAATCATATTTCATTACAAAAAAAAAAAAACAAAACACTTGTATATTCGAGCTTACTCAAACGTATAACCGTAACGTTGTTAATTAGCTTAAGCACACGTAGAAATATTGCTGAATGCGTGACATTTGAAATATGTAAATAATGCAAATAAGATAACAACACAAATAAATGTATAGGATAAGTGAAGAAAGTATCTAGATTAGAATGCAGTAAATAGTAATTTAAGGACAAATGATTTTCTTTTTCATTATTACTTAATTTTATCCACTGAAAAACTAATGAACTTGTTAAAGTTAACAGTTTGAATATTCCGTTAACAGTTTGGCCTTATTTCATTAAAGAATTCAATTATCTAAAATCACAGATAATTCCACAGAATATACTGGGTCGCAAATCTAAGAGCAAGATTTACAGGGTGATATTAAAAGAAGAAATTTAAAAAAACTGAAAAGAGAAGAAGAGAAAAATACAATAGCATAATAAGAGGTCCTTAGATGTGCACAAAGAAATTTCAAACTTTGTGAATACAATATATCTGATCAAATAAGATCATTGATTTCTTGTCAGAGCCAATCCAAAGTTTTCAACCGAATGATGAATGTTTTAACATTTGAAATTTTATAGAGAATAACAATCTCAAACAAAATTCAACAATTTGTAACTTTCACAAAAACAAAACTACAGATTGATTTTTTTTCATTTTAAAAACTATTTATTTCTTAGTAACAGCAATTAATAAGTAATAATACTAAAAACTGATGGAAGAAAAAAATTGGGATATAAAATATAAGAAAAAATCAGAGAATAACGTCAACTGGACTGAAAAGCTGATAATGCATAAATTTCTAATTTATGTTAAAATAATGTAAATTTGAAAAAAAATTCAAAAATATAATGTAGTAATTAAAAAAATTTCGAAAAATATATAACACTTCCAATGCAAGCCTTATTTATCATTGCTTGTAATAACAACACATAAAAAAGAAAAAAAAGAAATTCTTATTTTCTAAGAATTATATCATAATTTATGAAAATATGAAATGAGGCTTACATCATAAACAATGCCATTAATCTTCAAATGATTGTCACATCGCGAAATCTATCAATTATTTTATTGGAAATATACAAAATAAAAAATTACAAAATTGAAAAAAAAAAATTAAAATAGAAATTTTTTAAAGGTAACAATTTCAAATATAAAAACAAATCTAATATGACATGAAAGCATTCTATTTCATTACTTCTGTCAAAGAAATATGAAAAAAAAAAAAAAAAGAAAAAAACATTAAAAAATCAATAGAATTTCTCACTTACATTTGACATTAATTCTGAATTCTGCAATATTAGCAAAGTGTATAATCAAAATATACTTTTTACCAAATTATTTCTAATTTATGGAAAACGTATAGGTGAATGCTTCCGAGCATTTTTCGCCATATTATGATGCTCTATACTACTACTACTACTATTATCATTACATCGTTTTCCGTAAGCAGTTGTTCGCCATCCGTTAATCGACTTAGCTCTATTGCACACTGATTCCGAAATCTGCAATATTAGCAAAGTATTCATATGAGGAAAAATGAAAAGTTTTACTTCTGCTCATCCGAAAAAATATTAAAATTGCATTTAAAATTAGAAAGAAATATTTAGCTACTAAAATTACTTCGAAAACAACAAAAAGATTATGTAAAGTTAGTCTTAGTAAAGCTAGTAAGTAATTTTATTTTAAACTATTACTCATTAGAGAGATAAAATAAAAGTAAAAATTTTACTGTGGCTAAACTTATGTATTTATAGTATTTTATTCTTATAAATTCGATAATAAAAGATATCAGAAAACAAAAGAAAATTGAACCATTAATTCATTCATTGATATTTTTCTCGAATCCTCTGAATCTTTAATATTACTCATCTTATTGTGAGAATTTTCAGGAATACATTCCTGAAAAATACATTCGTTTTAAGCATTGAAAAAAAAAGAAGAAAATATGGAGAATTTACTGAATAATTTCATTATTTGGAATAAAAACTTTAAGACAAACATAAATTTAAAAAAAGTTCAGGTCAAAAAAAGTCAAAAAATAGCATAACCAATACACCTAAATTATAAATCAATAAATAATCACTGATTTTTTATTAGTATTTAATTTACTACATCCTAAATTAATTCATGCTTAAACTATAACGCATAAAATTAGCAAATAATACATATTTCGATGACACAATTTAATGTTAATGACAATTCTGTTTTAAAAATATTATTTCTTAATATATGAAAAATAATATCTTAAGTTTGTTTACTACTAATATCTTAATAAATATAAATAGCTCAAATATTTCATTTGATATATGAAAAATTGAATATAGAATATAAGTAAAATGTAAAAATTAAATGTTTGTTAGCTATAATAAGAAAAGGAAACCTTCCGCTGTGGTTTTGGCATTGCAAATTTTTTGAACTGTTCCAATAATTGAACATCTGTAAGTTTAACTAACTTACTCGTATTGATACCAATTCGTTTGAATTTATACTTTAAAAGAGTAAGAAGTTCATCTCGTGTCATCAAATCTGGGAAGAGTAATGTTGAAGTTGACGGTATTATAACATCCATATCACTTCTCATCCATTTTTCAATAATAAATAATAGCTAAAAATGAGAAAAATAAAAATAATAAATAGCAAAAAATTCGTCAAAACTATCAGTAATATTAATCTGTTATTCATTCACTCATTATGCTTAATACATTATAGATTATTTAAAATTTATTACTAAATATTTAAAAATGATAATTGCCATTAATACTATCGTAATGTTATAATAAATTATGCTAAATTAAGAAGTGTACGAGCATAAAATAATATCACTTTTAATTGAGCATTCAAACTAGGAAAAAAAGTTGCTAATAAATCAATGATTAATCAATAATTATTTATGTCATGCAAACTAATTATAATTATCATTAACATAAAAATTTCTATCCTAGCATTTATTTACTACAATTTATTAACATCCAATTATTCTTTATTCTCTATTACGAGAAATTATAATTGATTAATATATTTCTCATAATCTCTTACCATGTACTATTTTTATATCATTGAAAAGCTACGAATCTTTTGCTATTCCTAATTGTATACTTTTAATTGTTTTGTCTAAAAATTCAAATGCTTTTCTCTTTTATTACTTACAATCTTCACTTTCATCTCCTTTTTTTTAAAAAAAAAAATCTAATCTAATCTAATTAATTAATTAACTTACTTAAAAAGAAAAAGAAAGCGAAAGAAAAATAAAAGGAAAACCTGGTTGGCTCATAATGTAGCATTGCAGTTGCATACTTGAAATGATCAGATGACATTTGCGCAAAGTGAAATTTCATAATCGTTATTGAAATACTATAAGCAATTTTCAATTTTAGTTTCGTTCAATGGAATTGAAATATTGCATTGTACTGAAATATTTGATTTATCACTCAGTCAATTTTCATTTTTAATTTTATTCACCCAAAATGACAAATTTTTAATGTTTATTGCACATAATTTTATTCCGTATTTTCTTATTTATCAGCTCCAACTGAATAAGTTTGAAATGTCCAATTAATTTTTGTATTTTCAGTGCAAATGTTTCATAATACATTCCAAAGTGGATTACTTTCTGTATTATACAGTATTGGAAGTAAACCACTACAAATTTGGGATAAAAAGGTTAATTTTAATTTCTCAAAATTTTCAGACTTATTACTGTCTATTTTTTCAAGCCGTAACAGGATACTTTCAAGATTTAGTTTAAATTAAATAGAAACAAAAGCGGTTTCCGGCATATTTCATCCGATTTTAGGTTCGAAATGGGCATATAAAACGGATTAACGATGAAGATATACAATCACTAATAATCGAAATATTGGGCACAAATGTAAGGTGAGAATCTACATTTGACATTTAAATATGTATTTCTTAAATCTCGAGTGCTTATTTAGCGGATTATGTGAAATAGTATGATTGGAAGTTTGTAAGTTTGATAATGAAATGTTACAAATTATAAACTGCTAAACATTCTTATAATGACCATTACTTTGAGCACCATTTTCAAATAAATGTGTTTAAAATGTATACTATATAACTGAAATTTTTTTAGCACTACATATATTTCATGCCCATTGGATCCAAAGAAGACATTGGGAATTAAATTACCATATTTGGTAATGATTGTTAAAAATATGAAAAAATATTTCACATTTGAAGTCCAGGTTTGCATTTCATTTATTTTAATTACAACCTATTAACTCTTTGATCGTTTTTCTCAAATTTATAAAAACATATAAAGAAAACGATTTCATTTTGTCATCAGATACATTGTAATTTCTTTCTTTGATACAAATTCTAATTGATATTATTACCGAAGAAGGAAAGTAATAATGGTAATATTTCTAAGCTTATTTAGTTTAATAAATATTTAAGACTTTTCTCGTCTTTGTTTTCATAGTATGCAAGTTTTTTTTTTTTTTTTAATGGCTAAAAACATAGTAGGTTTCAAATATTAAATCGATTTCTTCATTCATTAGTTTGATTTGTTAATGTGTTTTCCTGATATCTACTAATTCTTTCCTTCTTGTAAAACTTTAGCACGAAAATTTTTTCATCTATTATATCAACAGCGAAATGTAAACCAGTAGTACCTTTAAGTGTGTATAATTTTGCAGATACTTGATGATAAAGGCGTGAAACGACGTTTTCGAGCATCTAATTTTCAATCCAATACTCGAGTTAAACCATTCATTTGTACAATGCCTATGAGATTAGATGAAGGATGGAATCAGATTCAGTTTAATTTGGCTGATTTTACTAAACGAGCATACGGTACAGCTTATGTGGAAACTCTTCGTATACAGGTTCATCTTGTTTATCATTTATAATCATCGCTTATGATAAACTGGTTTAATTTTATACCAAATATGGATTCATCTATTAAATATTTTTATTGAATATGGATGTTTCTTTCCGTTTGTTTACATACTTCTTCATATAATTTTTTCGATAAATTTAGATCCATGCGAACTGTCGTATTCGACGAATTTACTTTGCGGATCGACTGTATTCGGAAGATGAACTTCCTGCTGAATTCAAGCTGTATCTGCCGATTAAAACTGGCACTCAAGGAGCTGGCTCTTCACCAACAAGTGACGATGATCCGACAGTCGCAACAGTAAATATTTTTTACATTTTAGTGTTTTATTATTTTTTTATTAAAGTCAAAGCTTTGAGAATAATACACAGTTTCCAAGATAATGTAAAAGAATAAAAGGAATGAAAAATTCAATCAACTCTTGATATCTACTGTCACTTATATAAGGTGATGGAATTTGAGACTCATATAAAATTATAATGTTTCTACACTTCAAAGTATTGTGCAACGTTTTATAACTGTAGCAAAAATTGCTGGATAATAGTAAAAAGTTAGACAAAGTTTTTGTGGTTATAAAATTTTTCAGGATAGTCGCGTATGATTATTTATCCAGTCGAGGTCATAAAAAATGCTTAATGTATTATGTGTTGTGCTTTGACGGTGGCAATTCGTCTTAATATTCATATTTTGCATTAGCAAAATTAGTCATTTGTACGTATATTGTGATCTCATTGAACATATTTCATGTTTAACTTGTTTATTGTATAAATGAAGTTAATCAGCTTGTCTTTTCTCTGTTGTTCAGTTTATTTCATAAACTTAATTTTACCTTTGAAAAATTTTCAAAATCATCTTCGAGCAAATTTCCTCCACTTATTCATTGTGAATTCAATTTTTTTAAACAAGAAATGACAAGGGTAGTATTGTATTTGTCGCATTTTTGAAATGAATGGTAATTCATTTTGTAATTTCTATTTTGCAGTGATATGCTTGAACTTAATGTAAAGCAAAGTGGAATAAGTAAACGCGTCCTGAATGTACTCTACAGGAAGACAAAAAGTGGTAAAATTGTGAAAGTAAGGTTTAGTTTTCTGTGATTTCGTTTCATTTTTCTTTCTGAAAATATTGTTAGTTTCTTAATATTTATTTTTGATATCAAGAATTTTTAATTGGATAGCAGATATATTACACTAAGTGGATTGATTTTTATTTTTACAGCGAGTACATGAACAATATCTAAGAAATGATATCGGTTGTGGATTGGATTCATGTAAAAATTGTCAACCGGTTGAAGGTCACTCACTTACCAATTTGGTTGTTCAAATTTCATCTACAGTACCTACCAATCATGCTATCATTCTTGATTCTTCGGCATTAATCCGTTTTCATCATTTGTTCGATAATTTGAAATTCACGTCAGTATCTTATTTTTTTATGGGATGTCGAAATGTTTGATTTTTTGATATATTATCTCTTTCAGACGTTTTCGTTTCCTTTTCAGGAACATCATCATTACACAGACTGTTTGGGGAGATGTGAAAAGATCAAGTCCACCATCTTACAAATCAATGTATACATTGTGCTATGACAGTGCGGACAGGAAAATTTACGTTTTCATGGATGATTTTCATTATGAAACTCATCTTGATCGTATTGCAGGTGAAAGCGAAGAGGAGAGGTAGGTGAATTTGAGGCAATTTTGGTATTTTCAATAATTTTTCTGTGGAAAAAAAAATCACATTTTGCTTTAAAGGTTTTGGTTGATTTTGTATTTTCTCTTGTTGATACACTATTTTTCTTGATACTGAATTGGTAATTTTTATGTCATTGATTAGAGACTAATTTTTGAGGTTAACTAGATCGCTTATAACATGTGCCAAATTCTATGAAAATCACTGGAAACAATTGTCTATAATTCCTATTATTGTATGTGGTACCAATGTAACCAAAGAACAGTTGAAGAAACAGTTTGAAAATGTTTTCACTTTACAGGAATACATTGAAGGTTTAAGTTTTTTATTATTAATTTTTATCATATAGAGAGCTATTACAGTTCAATACCGTGAATATTTATTTGTTACTTTCATCATTAGCACATTTCAAGAATTTTCAGGCATGGAAGATAATACTGATTTGCTCGATAAACTGGCTGTCTACAATGCAGAGTGCGATGCTCGAGGACGTATTTTGTTCCCAGAATACTTGGCTCACGATATGATACAAAATGGAATTCGAAGTGGAAAATTTAAAAAAGCAACATTTCAGGTTTGCATTGGTTACTTCATATTTCATATATATATATATATATATATACTATCTCTATCACATAATTTTACTCAGCTTGTCATGTGGTCTGGTGAAACTGTTATCTTCAAGTTTTTGAAAATATATTTTAGTTTTCATAAAAATTTGAGGGATTTTGTTCTGCAAAAATTCCAACAGTTTACCTTTCAGGCCGCAAATTTTTCAAGATTTATCTTACAGACCTCCAAATTCAATAATTTATCTTACAGCTCTGCAAAATTCATATATTTATGCATTAACAAATATTTGATTTCAGGTTTCTCGTGAAAATTACACAGAAGCATATGTTCATGTTGACGAAGGAACTACGTGGTTTATTCAGGGTCGTATCAATATGAATCGTGCTGTTAATGGTGATACAGTTGCTGTGGAACTATTGCCAGAATCTGAGTGGACTTGCCCGCAAAAAGTTATTCGAGTAAATATAGTTATGCTTTTATTTAACTTTTAACTTTTCTTTTCTTTTTCATTTTTGGAAAACCTTCCTTTTGTCGATACGATGATTGCAGTCCCATTGAAAACTTGCATGTAAACAAAATTAGCGAGTTTCTCTTTTCTAAGTTACGAGATGTGGAAGAAATTGAAATGAAAGATGCAGTTGATAAAGAGGAAGACAAAGATGAGGAAGAAATCCAGCCGAAAAAGCCACGAATGGAGGATAAAATTCCTTCTGCTAGAGTAGTTGGAGTTATTAAGCGAAATTGGCGTCAATATTGTGGAATGATTTTGCAGCCCGCTGTGAAAGGTTCTCCTTAATATGATTGATTTAATACCTAATATGAAAGTTCTCTTCTTTGATATGATGCAACATTTGTAATTTCTACAAATTACTCATTGCATTTCCAGATTGTTTCTTCAACATCGTTTTTTCTTTCTTTTCTTTATTTTGGTAAACATCAGTACACTAATGAGTTACTGAATTTAATCTAATATTTTTGAGATGTAAGTAATCATTTACATTTCCTTTATTTTGTAAAACAGACGAGGTGTTTATTTTTATATTTGCAGAATGGATAAGACAATAAGCGAAGATAATATTATTGCTAGGTGTAATCATCATGTGTTCAGCTATTGGATAAACATTTATATACAGCAAATGCTATCATATTATTCTGTTCGCAGAATTCATTTGCAGATTCAACACGTGTACTATTCGCTGCAGCGGAACGACTTATACCTCGTATACGAATTGAAACACGTCAAGCTGAGCATTTGAAAGGAAAACGAATTATTGTTGCGATTGATAGCTGGCCTAGAGATTCACGCTATCCAATTGGACATTATGTGAGAAGTATTGGCATAGCAGGTGATCGTGAAACGGAAAATGAAGTATGACTTTGACAGCAACACTTGTTTTTTATTATTATTATTACTATTTTTTTACTTCAAAATATTTTTGGATAAAACCCTATACTTTACAGTTTTAACTATAATTCTAAATTTATTTTTAATCTTTTATCTCCCGGTTTATTTTGACTTTTCGGTTCATTTATTTTGGATCTTTAAACAATAGTACACTTAATTTTGAAGGTATTATTACTGGAGCATGATGTACCACATGGACCATTTTCGGATGCAGTTTACGCATGCTTACCTGAAGTTCCTTGGCATGTACCTAATGAAAGTCATCGAAAAGACCTCCGTTCATTGACAATTTGTTCAGTTGATCCGCCCGGTTGTACCGATATTGATGATGCTTTTCATTGTATTCAAACTGCATCAGATCGCTATGAGGTTATTATTTCATCTTTTTTTTTTTTTTTAATTTTTCATTTCTCAGTTTTACTTTGATCTTAACTTATCTAATAATCATTATTTCCGGTTGGTGTTCATATTGCGGATGTTTCACATTTTGTTAGGCCAGATACAGCAATGGACGCTGAAGCAGCTCATCGAGGAACAACTGTTTATCTTTGTGATAAGTAAGTGTCTCGTTACTCTAAAATGTTAATAAAAAAAAAAAAAAAAGAATAGATGCTTACTCCAAATTGAACCCCAGTTATTATTAGCTTGAATAACGAATTATTATATTATTCGAAAAGGTGAATGATTCGATTAAATCGTTAACCTAGCTCTTGATGTTTACATTGTTTTGTAATGATAACATTTAGAAGTAAAAGAAATTGATAAATCGCTATTAAGATTATATAATTAACTAGCAAATAAATATATTCGAATAATGTTCCATATCTTTTCTGATTTTTTTTTTTTTTTTTTTGATATATTTTAGACGTATCGATATGTTGCCAGAACTACTTTCAAGTGATTTATGTTCACTTCGTGAAAATGTCGATCGTTTGGCTTTTTCAGTAATTTGGACATTGACATCCGATGCTGATATCATTGATATTAAATTTCATAAATCTCTTATACGTTCCAGTGGTGCACTTACATATGAGCAAGCTCAGAATAGGATCGATGATCCTTCTATGGTTAGTGTGTTCTGTATTTTATTTCTGAATGCTTAATGCAATAGATACGTATTAATACACTGTCTTTAGTATTATTGGATGGTGTATGTCGCATACTATAGACTTTAAAAGTATCAAATCAAGGAGAATAAGACAAAATAATGAACACTGATATTGTAATAAGAGATGTGGTGAATCATGTTTGTTCATGTTATAATTCTTCTATCACTTAATTTTATTATATTGTAAAGAAGTTGTGAATAATTTGATTAAGCTAATTTCGGAGGGATTCATTTGGATTTTTGCATAAATATTCGATGGATCAGTGAACATAGTGTTCTTTCTTTATTTTAATTTTTTTTTTTTTTTCAGTCAGATTCTATAACTATGGGATTGCGAACATTATTGAAGCTATCAAAGAAGCTAAAAGCAAAAAGGCATGCTAATGGTGCTTTAACCTTAGCATCTTCTGAAATTCGATTTAGCATAGATTCCGAGACTAAAGATCCGATCAGTATACAAGAGAAGAAGATGCTAGCCACGAATAGTATGGTCAGATTTATTATTACGTAGTTTATTAAGTGATCTATTTACTATGTACTTATTAGTCTGTCCATTAATATAAGTATTCTCTATTTAATGTATGCATTTTTAGTTTGTTTACATCTATTTTTTCCAACTATATTTTTGTTATAGGTTGAAGAATTTATGCTGCTTGCAAATATCTCAGTTGCAGAACGCATAACAGCAGATTTTCCTGATTGTGCTTTACTTCGACGACATCCAGTTCCACCGGAAGAAAATTATAAGCCAGTGGTTGACGTAAGTAAAAAGATTTTTTTATATATTCATTCTTTATCTTCTCTTTGTTCAGATATATTGAAAAAATGTCGATTTATTAGTTTTGAGTTGTAAATTTAGATGGCAAAGGCGAAAGGCTTTAAAATGAATGTTGAAAGTGGAAAAGCTCTTTCGGAAAGCTTAGATGAAGCCGTGGATCCTAATAACGCAATGCTTAACACACTCTTTCGAATGTTAACAACACGTTGTATGACACAAGCTGTATATTTCTCATCAGGTTCTTTTTTTTTTTTGTTTTTAATTTTTTTAGTTTAATTTTTTTTAATTTTTAGCATCTTATGCAGGTTATTATGTTGAGCCTGTAACATTTATTTTTGTCCAAACTTTATTTTAGTTTTTTTTTTTTGATTTTTAATTTTTAAAAAATTTTTTTTATCTTAAATGTACTGAATTCTGACATCACCACAAATTTTTGTCACTTTTATTAGCTCTGATAGAGTTTATTCTAGGATCATTGCCAACCGAGCAATATGTTCATTTTGGGCTTGCCGCTCCAATCTACACTCATTTTACATCACCAATACGAAGATATGCAGATATAATGGTTCATCGATTGCTTTCTGCTTCAATTTGTGCTGATTCCACTTTTCCCGAAATGTTAAAAGGTGATTTGGTCAGCAAAATTGCAAACAATCTGAATTACAGGTTAGCAGTGAAAAAATCTATCCGTTTTAAAATTCATTTGATTAGGAAGTTATTCGATATATCGTAGTTAGAGCAAAGTAAAGAAAGTTATTGTACTTTTTCAATTATAATAAAAAAATGATGTGTAAAATAGAACTTTGAAATATCAAACTGTACTTTTCTCTTTAAATAGTTTTTCTTTAACTTTTATTCCAAATTTCACTTTTTTATTTTTACTGTTTAATATGCATAAAGTTTTCACTTTTCAGACATAAACAAGCGCAGTATGCGGGTAGGGCATCGGTTTCGCTCAATACATTGCTTTACTTCAAAGGTCGTACCGAGTTACATGATGGTTTTGTGATGGGTATCCGCAAAAATGGCATCCAGGTAATTAATAGTTTTTCATAAAATCGATTTTTTATAATCCCAAATTCTTTTAGATCCTGTATTTTTCAAGTTAAACTAATCTTCTTAAATATCAGTCACTTTAAGTAGTTTATTTTATTACTGAAGAAAAGAATATAATTAATTGTTTCACTTTCACAAAGGTTTTTTTTTATAGGTATTTGTACCAGCATATGGTTTTGAATCGATCGTTGTTTTTCCGTGTGGGTCGAATTATCAAGTAACAGATGATTTGTTAATGGCGGAAGGTGTTGAAGTGAGGAATTTCCAACGTATTACGGTGAAACTTTCGCTAGATGAGACTGATGTCCAACACATTCGCTTAGATATGAAATTGGTTTCACCAAAAATTCCTGGATTCAGCGTTGATTACATCCTTTCGGCTCCAGAAGAATGAACACTAATAATGTACACATGTTGTCATATTCCCTTTTTATCCATATTTCACTTTATTTCATTAGCTTATATCGTCATGAAGTATCTTGCACCAAATTATGTTCATTCGATAAGTAAGACTAACCATTTTGTAACAAATGACAGAAAATCTCTGCTAGGTTTTAATATCATTTGAAAGCAACCTCGGTATTATTTGCAGCTCACTTGATATTATTATTTAGAAGTATTTTTTATTTCGGAAAAATTTATGTTGTTATCACTTGTTTATTTTTCAATAAAAAAATCTCATTTTTCATTAAATGCCCTCACCGGCTGACAATTAGAGATATGAATGAATATACAAAATTTTCATATGCTATAGTCTTCATGAATGTTCGAAATCTCTTCACAAAAATTGTGAAATGCACAAACAGTAATAGAATTACGTTCAAAAAGAAAGAAAAACAGGAACACAAAAATTCAAATGAGAGTTCACCAGTTTTAATGATTTTGTAATTTCAAAACTTCAAGCTTAAAACAACACAATCAACAATGGTACAACAATCAACAATGATATGAAACAAAGTGAGAGAGGGAATAATCAGTGGTTTTTTTCTCTTTGAATTTACAGCAATATATGCAACTAACTCGCTTGATATCATTTAGCACAATATACAATATTAAATAAAGTAGACAGGATTATTAAATACTGCACAGATCAAATATTTCACCATGCAATGACATTTAATTCCAGCTATTCACCAATTTTTTATACAAATATTACTCCATTTTATCAACCAAATTTTGAAATTTGTCCCACCTTTTCAAATATCAAACACCGTTTCAGCTTATGTTGAAATTCTCCTTAACAGTATGTGAAATGTATCTCAAAAACCAATAATTATCAAATTTCAAGTGATCCGATGATGTTCTATCAGTGATATTATTAGTGGTATGTATAACAAACCATTTTATTAAATGCATCAGAATCCCATTTCTTACGTTGTCACTCAGTGTACACGTATTACTGAAATGGTAGAACACGCTACTGTAGCGCTTCCTTCGGTTTTCAAAAGAACATTTATAAACTTTACAATGCGGATTTAAAACTGTTTCATCTTTGGTGTTTAATTTTTCACAATGCAGATTAAAAACTGTTTGACTTTTAGTCTTCAATTCGAACAAATCTGAAATAAAAAGCTTCCATTTGAGCATTTCTGTCATCTCACAAAATTATGTGTATCACTATGTTCTTCAATATATTTATGACACCCATCATTTGTTTAAATCTTCTACTTTGCATCGCTTCTGATAATGAAACTTCCCATCTACCTAATTTCGGCACTGCTAATGAAGTTGCAAATAATACTTATTCTGGCATCTCAGATACCTTTGGTTTTCTCCATTATCTCAATTTTGAGCCATTATTTAGCTCAGAATTTCCATCCGATCCTTCTCAGTTCATTGATTTCGCTCAGTTGAGTGAAACTGAGGATATAAGCAATGAAGAATGGAAATCTGAAACTAATCAGATCACAAATGATCCTCATCCTGGCTTCTCCGATATCTATGATCCCTTCGGCCACACTAATTTGGAGTTATCACTTAACTCAGATATGGACTCATATAGGAATTTGTGGAGAGATGCTAATGAAGAATTAAAAACGGGTGATGATAATGTGCGATATGCTTCCATTAGTGGTGAGACTTTTGCTTTAGATATATGAAAAGATAAATACAACTTCTTGTAATTTGAGTTATTTAGATGCTCAGAATGAAACTTCTTCCTCACTTAATCTCAACAGCGATATTATCACATATATGCACTTGCCTGGTTCACAACAAAGTGCCATTCCGATTTATTTTCACCAACTTACTCTTTCCTCAGACAACACTTCTAGCCAAAGTGCAATTGCTGAACAGAGCAACATCGACAATAAGCACTTCTCGGATAACTTGAATATCCTCGATTACAGGGGAAATGCCTATAAAGGAGCAGAAACAGGTAATGACACATTGCATAACAACTTTTCGTTCTTTGCTTTCATTAGTAGCATAAAATTCAAGAGGCGACAGTGAAAGTATGACTTTTGCTTCAAAATATGAGAAGGTAAGTAAAGAACTACCTTTTACCTAAGTTATTCAGAATGCAATGTGATATTTTTTATGGTAATGACATTTTTATGATTTCTTATATTATTTAAGTACCAAATAGTGTAATGGACTACTGATTGCAAAATGCTTTAACAAGAATTTTTCAGATAAGAAAAATTATACTTGTCATTGCTCCGGGTGTACTGTGATCTCGAAAAATTACAAAGAATATCTAGCACACAGGAAAACACACGGTCAACCCTTCATCTATGAATGCAAATTGCCTGGTTGTGGGCGAACATTTGGCCAAAAATCATCATTTTACAATCACATACAGACGCATGAACCTCGTCCTCAGTGCGAGTGCTGCGGCAAATTCCTCGTCAACAGGAATGCACTGAAAAAACATAAAAGGCTCTGTCAAATAAAATTTCGTTAGTTTTTGCAAATTTAGCAGAATTTCAAACATATATATCAACCTGAAATGGAATGCGCTTAAAATGTGGCATGATTTGTGAGCGCTGAGTGACAACATAACGGAAAATTTACAATTACACTTTTTGTTCAATTATACATGAATGTAATTATACAGCTTTTTGTGATTTAAATTATTTGAAATGAGATGTGATAAGATTATTTCATAGCAGTGATATTTTTATGTTTATCAGACTACTTAATTAGCTGCCAAACACCATAATAAAATATTAATTCAGACGAACGAAGCTATGAATGCCTTTATCCCGGATGTGCTATGGTCATGAAAAGTCGCAACGAATATATAACACATAGGAAAACACACGGTCAGCCCTTCATCTATGAATGCAGAGCACCCGATTGTGGGCGAATATTCAACTATAAAACAACACTTCCATAGTCACAAGCAAACGCATGAATCTAATCCTCAGTGCGAGTGCTGCGGCAAATTCTTCACTAGCATGATTATAATATATAGGCATAAGAAAAGCTGTCAAATAAAATCTCGTTAGTTTGCAAATTTAGCAGAATTTTAGAAGTATATGCCAACTTAGAAATAGATTTCATGTGAAAGAAAACATATATAGAAAATTTGTAGAAAACATAGATTCTAGTAATGTAAATTATTTGAAATGATATGTGCTAAGGAGTGATATTTTTATAAATTATCAGATTACATAACTAGTTGCCAAACATTGTAACAGAATGGCAATTGTAAAAACACATATTATAGGAGTTTTTTAGGTGGAAAAAGCTACGAATGTCATTATCCCGGGTGTGCTGTGATCCCGACAAGTCGCAATGAATATGTGACACATAGAAAAACACACGGTCAGCCCTTCATCCATGAATGCAGAGCGCCCGGTTGTGGACGAATATTCAACCGTGAATCGTCATTTCGCAAACACAAGGAAACGCATGAACCTCATCCGCAGTGCGGGTACTGTGGCCAATTCTTCAGCACCAAGAGTGGACTGAATTATCATAAGAAGAGCTGCCAAATAAAATCTCGTTAGTTTGTAAATTTAGCAGAATTTCAAACACATATGAACCTGAAATGAAATGCGTGTGAAATATGCTACAAAACATTTGTGAGCGCTGAGTGACAACACAACAGAAAATTCACAATTATGCTTTTTGTTGTTACTATACTCGAAAATAATTAAGCAATTTGTTGTGGTCTAAATTATTTGAAATGGAATATGATAAGGTTATTCTATCCAGAATGCCTCGCACTAGGATTATTCACCTTTGGTCTTTAATTATTCACAATGCAGATCAAAAACTGTTTGAAATGCTTTGACAAGAATTTTTCAGATAAGAAAAATTATACTTGTCATTGCTCCGGGTGTACTGTGATCGCGAAAAATTACAAAGAATATATAGCACACAGGAAAACACACGGTCAACCCTTCATCTATGAATGCAAATTGCCTGGTTGTGGGCGAACATTTGGCCAAAAATCATCATTTTACGATCACATACAGACGCATCAAGCTCATCCTCAGTGCGAGTGCTGCGGCAAATTCTTCAATACCAAGAAGATGCTGCGTTATCATAAGAAGAGCTGCCAAATAAAATCTCGTTAGTTTGCATATTTAGCAGAATTTTAACAGATATGCCAGTCTGAAGTAGAATGTGTATGAAATTTGTGCGAAACATTTGTGACCACAGAGTCACAATACAATATTTGCGCTCATTAGATGCTGTGTCTTTCTTTCCATATCGCTTACTCAACATGTAGTAACTGTCCATGACCTAAGAACCAACTGCTTAAAAAGGTATTGACAATGGTGACAGTGACGCTTCAATATACATCAACAAACACTGAAAATATTAGCAAAGTAATGAATACTCCATCCACTCTTGGCCAAATTGCTTTGTTTTTCTAATTCATGGAAAATATGCAGAAAAGCATATCATTTCATCCGCAAAGTTAAGCTGCGACGAACTGCTAATCATTTCTTTTGACGTTACAAAACAAGTAAAAATTCTTATTCCAGAAAATGAGACACAATTTGGGCATTCTTCGGGAAACATAAGAAAAGGAGCGTAGCAATCGAACGTTTTCGAAGCACCAGAATGCAGCTACGAATTTATAATTTAATTTTATCATTGGAATTTTTCCTATTTTATCTTTATTTATTATCCCATGAAGTAGTAAAAAATGCGTACACAACTGAAATGAACAATTTGTGATGCAAAGAGCTAATATTCTAATAATTTATAACAAAAGTTGACATCACAAAGTGGTATTAAACAAGGAAATGCTATTATAAGGAAGAGAGATGATGCATTTTTAACTTACTTATCATAATTGTTCATTATTAATTTACTTAAATTCAATATGCAAAAAGTTGTTTTTCATTTATCATAAGTAGCTCTAATCTTTAACACGTTGAACAAATTTTTCTTTTCTCGAATACTAACTCAGTATAATGAAACAGAGATCCA